TTGAATTCCGGGGTAGATCCTTCCAACTGGTAGAATGGAACCGAATATTGGACAATCCAACTTCTCAGAAGACAATCATAATAAGGTGTGGCCCAGTAACCATCCTCGGGTGTGACCGCTACCGTTCTATTCCACTTGGCTTTATATGAGGTTATATTCCCCATATCGGTTCGGTTAGCGTAAATTCTGTTTTTAGGTTTAAGAAGGCCGTCGGTTGATCGATTAACGTGCACGGAGAACCATGTGGTAGTCTGCGGTTTGTACAGCATGGACAGGTCGGTGACCACGACAGCTTCATCTCTAGTGCGGTAGCTGTATGGAAACAGCGACTGAGGTTCGTACCTTGTCTGGGATTTTGCAGTTGCTGGTGAAGATTCAGAAGACGGGGCCGATGCTGGAGGTGGTGTCGATGATGACAGTGCCCCAGAGTTAAGAAGATTGAATGCTATGGCACAGCCTCTCACTTGAGGTCCCATTTCGACTAGTGACTGTGTCATGGCAAAGAACACATCCATGAAATCTTCAGGAGGGGATTTTGTGAAAAGCAACAAATCGTTGATGATGTTAGCGATTTGTACTGTCCTATTCACTTCTTCGGCGAACACCGGGAAAAACTGGTCAGGTCTAAACTTGGCTGCTTTCAGAATAATAATCCTGTCGTTGCGAGACTGGCACGGTTCTGATGTCCACTGCAGTTTGTCTACAAAACTCAACGTCCTTGAAATGAGCTCGTCGTCTAGAGAGCTCACCAAATCTTCATCGTTACTGTTGTCCACGGAGCGAGGGTATCTCTTAATTTGAGATAAAAGGTTTGATGATGGCAATGGTATGGTGGAGATGGGTTTAAATCCCGTATGTCTCAGAGGGTATTCATACAATTTTAACCCTGCTGAATTCAACGTTTCTGAGTATTCTTGGACAGCGGGTCTTGCATGTATGTCAGATGTTCTCGGGTATTTATCTATTACATCGTTATGATTCAGGGTGGGTCTCGGGTGGCGTGGTCTATCTCCGTGAGATACGGAAATGTCACCATCTTTCTGGGACATGTTAAAGTTGCTGTGTTCGTCATAGTTCACGTCTATAATACCCGCTCTGGATTTAAAGTTCACAAATTTGCTAGAATCCCCCTCCGCCAATTTATCACCTAAAATAATGTTTGAATGTGTTGCCATAAGGAGTTTCGGGAGATGTGTTCGTTCGGACAAGGTTGGGCTTCCATTGAAAACCTCTTTCTGGTGTGAGGCCTTGTGGGTTGCATGTCTCCGTTTCTGAAGTGTTGATTGCTGAGATGACGATGAGTGAGTACCCGTTAGAATGGCGAAGTTGTTCACTTCGTTGTGCTTGGTGCGAAGCGAGGTTGCTTTTGATAAACCTATAGCTTTGCTTCTTCTGTGATTGATTCTGCTGCCACTTGAGGAGGTGGAGGACGAGGAGGAGGAGGTCCTGGTGGAAATTACAGCATTTATTTTGTTTACGTTTCCACCAGCGTCCTTGCTGGATATTCCATGGAAGGAGAGCACCGTATCCTCCACGCTTGCCGCGGAGACTATCGTAGAGATGAGGCAAGCTACGATGACAGCTGAAGAGAGTATCAACGGATTCAAAGTCCACATCAGTACAGGCGGTGAAGAGGATGACGATGTTGTTGTCGAAGAAGATGGCGATGTCAGTACCGTCAGATGATGGGTGGAGGCAGCCATGTCTCTGCTTGACGTCACAGACGTTATCCCGATCAAACCCCCGGCCGTCAACTGAAGGATCAGTCACCATAACCTCCAAGGACGCTGTCAGTTAGATCAATGCTATATCTACAAGCGAACACGAGGCTGAGTGGTTTGCACTTGTCTACCACCAGACAGCACATGAGGTGCTCAAGGTCAGTCCCGGCTCAGACATCATGTATAGAGTGTTTATCTGTATTTGTCTCCTGCCCAGGGGTCAGTCTCTGTATGATAACGATACCTCACTGAAGCTGCAAGAATTGTGGTCCTTTCTTGATGCTCTGTAGAAAAAAAAACGCAAAAATAAAATTACATTATCGTGTATGAATTAGTACTGATGAAAAATTATCCAAGGGTAATATCTCCGCCTTCTCCAGATACGCCCACCAACTAATTCACGTGACATTTTGGCGGAGTCCCCTCGAAAATTGGTTACTGGTAGCCGTTTCCATGTGATGAATTGTGTGACATTTTAATGTGCTTACAAACTTCTGTGTTCTGAACGTATTCGGATTACAAATCGACAAGCGGATATTATGAAGTGGATATGCAAGACTTTCAAACTTTGCTGTTAGATTACAGCAATTTGAATATAAATAGAGAAGGCCGTGGGTAATATGAAGGAACAGAACTTTCCGCTAGAGTTTACAACCGGTTAACGCCAAAAAGAAGAAAAGTATTCCAAATGAAATCAGCAGCTCACAGTGTCATGCTCAGTAGCTAAGCGACGAAAGTATGTTCTCCCAGTCAACATATAGAGGAAATTGCAATGGTTGATTATTGTCAGAAGCAGCAACTTGCCACTACTAAAACAGTAAGTTTGTCTATCCACCATACTGACCGGAAGTCGTGGCGCCAGCAATGAGTAGTGAGTTAAACAGAATATGAATTTATTTGTTGCACTACTCATGCTCCAATGTTTTCATCATTGACGGGTCCAAAGACTGTTCTCAAAACTGTGTGATAAGTCTTGGTCTTTTTAAGTTGTACTCCAGGTTTTAGGTCCACAAACGACAACTTGCAATATCAAAATAATGTGTTCTGGATCTTATCAAACTTAGATGTTTGACTTCAGCAGAAGTAGTAGAACATTAAGACTGTATATCCAAAGTAGAAGAGCGGCTGGCTGAATGGCTAGAACGCTGGGCTCTCAAGCGAAAGACCCGGGCTCGAATCATCGGTAAGGCTAGGGATTTTTTCTGTCGGTGGGAAAATAGAAAACTCACCTGAACAGACGTGGCGACTGCACTAACCATGCGCGGCTTTGAATTCTCAGGCTCAAAGACCACCCCCCCCCCCCCCCCCCCACGCCTTCACCGGAAAAGTGATATGATTACAACGTAACAAATTGATGGAGAAAACCAACTGTAAATTGTAAATAGAACACTGTAAACTTAATATTTTGGATTGAAGGAGTCACGGACAACTTGAGACTTCATAACATCACGGCATATGAAGCGACTGAGCGCGCCCTGGCTCGGTTGCCGATCATCTGATAGACTGCGACGCCTAGCGGCACAAGCAGATTTTGACAAAAGAAGAAGAAACTTAATATTGAAGCCGTTTTATTTTTAAACTGTGTCCGTTGCTTCCGCTACCCGTTACAATGCGGCGAACATGACACCGAGGTATGAATGTAGACGTACAATTACACTGATGTCATCATCATTTTCGTCATAGCCTCATAGCACCATGTGTCAAGGGACATCGGTTGCTGCTGAATGTCTGATCAGATCCGTCCAACTCTCTCGGTCAAAGGCACCTGCTTTGATGTTTGGGGATCAGTTCATCAAGCCCAATTCTGTATCCAGGTCTTCCTTGGTCTGCCTCTTCTCCTTTTCCCTTCCATAGAGCAGTTTATAGTGTGTTTCAAATGTTGTGTCCTCACACTTTAACAAATGTCTCGAAAACTCCAGTACGGATCAATACAAATTTTTGCATGTTGCATTATATTTCCTACTTCCTTATGATTGTATTATTTACAATAGCAAGGGGCTGCTGTGTTCTTAAAGCGGCGAATTTCTTTAATCTGTGTTTGACTTATAACTTGCGTATTGCTACAAATATAATATACAGTAACTGACACATGTACGCGGAGATTGTTTGGAAATCAGTTCACATTTGTCACGATGCGTGGTGATTATTTTGACAGCCCATCCTGCTTACAATAAAAAGTGTGTTGGTTTAACTGGCGAGAGGCTAATGCTTGAGGTGACCACCTGAGAGTTGAACGCATATGCAACGCATGCGATGTGATGTTGAAAACTTGCAGGAACTCAATTAACTGTAAGTGTGCTGACTTTTTGCTTTACATAGGTTTTTGTTTTTTATATAACGCAAATAGGACAAAATAAAAACTAGACGTTTGTTTACATTTGGGTTTTTAATTCTTGCAAGGACATGATTATTAAGAGGTTGCATGCTAAATTTCAGCGTTTTACACCCAATGATTACTGAGTTAACATTTGTTTTAAAGTTAGGAACGACTTTTGGAAAGGACTGTAGGTACATTTTGTTACACGTCCGTAAAATTGCATTTCCCGTCCGTTCACTGCTGTCTTTGTTGTTAAAAAGAACCCTGGTGTGGAATTATTAAATCATGATGTTTCTGTAGTCACATGCATGATTGTCAGTTTTTTACATCAAGTTTATCAGTGCTGCACGATATCTTCTTCTTCGTGTGTGAATCCAAGGTTCCGCAAGAAATTTCAAAATAAAAATATCTACACACGACGTAGCAAAACAGTCGATTCTTTTAAACAGTAAAAACATTTTTAAAATCCAGTTCTGAAATCTAAAGTTTATGCACCATTAAGGCAAGTAAAAATTCAGTTAAAATCATAAAAAACAAAACATTACAGAGTAGACAATCTATTCCAAGCCTAACGGGGAAGGATGGGGAGGAGAGAAGGGGAAGGAAACAAATCGAAGGTTTCAGATAAATAAAAATTGGTAAAGCTAAACAAAAACTGCATTTTGTGCTTTACCAGCCGTATCTTAAGAACAAGAGATACAAGTGAGCGAACTATTTCATGTCACCTGTATAAAACTCGTAATATTTACATTCGAGCTCGTGTGGGGATTTTACTTACCTGAAAGTTAACTTCCTTCGGGCAAATAACTACATACACGTGCGCGTTCTGTTTATACAAAACAGACAACATAAAGCACCCTTTTCCACGACTTTCAGTGTATTGGGCATATAGGGCTAGACCTATATTTTATAGACATCGACACTTGGTGGATGATGTGGTCAACATCACGCCGGCCGCCTTCTACTTCCCATGACTGCACCTGGTACCCACTCAAGGCTGGGTCGACCTGGGAGCCTTTACATCCCAGGACTGCACCTGGTACTCACTCAAGGCTGGGTCGACTTGGGAGCCTTTACATCCCAGGACTGCACCTGGTACTCACTCAAAGCTGGGTCGACTTGGGAGCCTTTACATCCCAGGACTGCACCTGGTACTCACTCAAGGCTGGGTCGACCTGGGAGCCTTTACATCCCAGGACTGCACCTGGTACTCACTCAAAGCTGGGTCGACTTGGGAGCCTTTACATCCCAGGACTGCACCTGGTACTCACTCAAGGCTGGGTCGACCTGGGAGCCAAGGACATTTCTGACGAAAAAAGTCCGGTTCCGTCAGGACCCGAACCCACGACTTTCCGATCTGCAGGCGAGGGTCTAGCCACTACACCACGGCGACTCAGAGAATAGACATTAGCCACAAGATTTTGTTTTCCCGTCGGCCGGTCCCTCGGTCGTCGGTCGTTCAAGATGTCTGTATGTAGGATTAACACGTCAGTGACCATATAGAAGAAAACCATAAGACACGGCATTTAACCGTATAACATTGTTTTATGTGGCCGTTTTATTCCCGTAATTTCTATACATTATGTCGCACTAAGCTACAATGCAGTTGTTTACACAACACTGTCTTCAAAACAGTTCCCTTTGGTAACTACACACTGCTTTTTTCTGATTGCATAATTAGAGCTTCCCCCCTCCCCCCCCCCCCCCCCACTTTTTTCCCCACCCCAAGGTATTGTCTACAGTCTTTTTAATTCCTAAAGGCTGAACAATTAAAAGGGAAATGTAAGCTGACATCCTTCGTTGTCCAAGAGATGCACTCACAAGGAAACACCATGAAAAAATGAAGAAGTTGGTTTCTACTGCAGGACTATGCGCCATCCCATAAATCCATCTGATGCGCAGCACCTCGCAACGCATTCTATGACTACTCTGGATTATACTCCACTTTCTCCCGAACTGAATTTTTCCCTCGCCTAAAATAGGTACTGAAATAGGAGAGATTTAGTGATGT